TTATTAAATTTTAATATAATATAATAATAATAATAAAAAACATATAATTCCTTGAAAAGTCTAATAAATATGATTATTATCAAAATATTAAACTTTAATATAATATAAAAAAGGAAAAAAGAAGACATTTTAAAATTTTAAAAAAAAGACATTTAAAAATTACAATTCACATATATAGATAATTGTAAACACAATCCGTGCATAACACGGGTGATATGCTAGTCTATACTATATATTAAGCAAAATGGGGTTTTTAACTCCCAAGGCCTGTGGGAGCTTCAATATGTCAATCCTAATTTTCTATTTTTTGTTTTTTTTAAAAAAAAAATTAACCTCAACATTTATTAACTTCTCTCAACCCACAAGACTTTTTGATTTCTCTCATAATTGCTTCAGTATTTTTTTCAAAACAAATAATTTGTATATTAAAAAAATTATTAATTTCTCTCAACCCACAAGACTTGTTGACTTCTCTCATAATTATTGCAGTACTTTTTCCAAAACAAAAATTTGAATATTAAAAAAAATTTAAAACTAATATAAATATCTATATCTATATCTATCTATTTATTTATTTATTTCTATCTCTAATCCATAAGTTTTGTGGGAGTTCCAATATCTTATTCTTAACTTCTTAATTTTTTTTGATTTTTTTTTAAAAAAAACTTAGCACTTATTAAATTGTTTCAAGTCTTTTTAACCTCTCCAATATACACACTCTTTTTAACTTTTCACATCCTTATTGCAAACAGTGAGTCTCCTTTTTGTTTTCTCCTTCTTGACTTTTCACTTCTACACTTTCAACTTCAGTGATCACGTATGCAAACAGTAAGTCTTTTTGTTTTCTCTTCTTAACTTTTCATTTTGTTTACTGTTTTAATATTGTAGTTAGATAGCGCATAAAAATATTTGTGATTTGTCTAGCGAATAAAAAATTATAATTTGATTTTTTAATATGATTGAAGATAGATAAATATAAACCCTCACAAAGAGAAAAATGTAATTATAATTAGTTGAATGATTTTTTTTTTTAATGTGATTGCAGTTAGTTTAATAGTTTTTTTTTCATTTATTTTTTTATTATGGGAAAAATGTGATGTGATTGTAATTTGTTCAATAACTCTTTTTTTAATATGATTGTTGTAACTAGTTCAATGGTTTTTTTTTTAATATTATTTAATCTTTTTATTTACTATTTTATTTTTATTTTTAATATGGTTGAAATTAGATAAACATAAATACTCACAAAGAAAAAAATGTGATTGTAGTTAGTTCAGTGTTTTCTTTTTTTTTTAATATGATTGTAGTTAGTCAATGATTCTTTTATTTATTTATTTATTTTTATATGAGAAAAATGTGATGTGATTGTAGTTTGTTCAATGGTTCTTTTTTTTTAATGTGATTTAATCTTTTATTTACTGTTTTAATGGTTTTTCTTTACAATTATTTATGAAAAAAATATGTTTGTAGTTAGATAGCATAAAAATATTTGTGATTTGATTTGATTTTTTTTCTTATTTGATTTTTAAAGTACCAATTATTGATAATGATTAGATTGTATTTTGAAAAAAAAATGTAATTGATTTTTTTAACTCACTGTGTTTTTTAGAAAAAAAAATTATTGTGTTTTTTTAACTATCAATTCACTTATTTGTAATTTGATTTTTAACTCACTTTGTTTTTTGAAAAACAAAATGAATTTTACTCATTAGGGTCACATAATGTACCAATTATTGATGATGATTAGATTATATTTTGACCCAAAAAAATTGTAATTGATCTTTTAACTCACTATGTTTTATGAAAAGTAAATTATTGTGTTTTTTAATTATCAATTGACTGATTGATTTTTTTTAATTATTGATGATGATTAGATAGTATTAAAAAATTGTGATTTGTATGATCGAAATTATCTCCTTTTATTTATATTTTATTTTTTAATATGATTGAAGTTAGATATACATAAACACTCACAAAAAAGAAAATGTGATTGTAGTTTGTTCAATGGTTCTAAATAATCATTTTTATTTACTATTTTAATGGTTATTTTTTTCAATTATTTTTTTTATTATGAGAAAAATGTCATTGTAGTTAGATAGTATTAAAAAAATTGCGATTTGTATAATTGAAGTTATCTCCTTTTGTTTATAATTTGATTTTTTAATATGATTGAAGTTAACTCACAAAAAGAAAAATATGATTGTAATTTGTTCAACGGCTCTAAATAATATTTTATTTACTATTTTAATGGTTCTTTTTTTCAATTTTTTTTTATTATGAGAAAAATATGATTGGAGTTAGATAGCATTAAAAAATTGTGATTTGTATGATTGAAGTTATCTCCTTTTGTTTATAATTTGATTTTTTAAATATGATTGAAGTTAGATAAACATAAACACTCACAAAAGAAAAAAAATATATAATTGTAGTTTGTTCAATACTTCTAAATAATCTTTTTATTTACTATTTTAATGGTTCTTTTTTTCAATTATATTTTTTTATTATGAAAAAAATGTGATTGCAGTTAGATAGCATTAAAAAAAATGTGATTGTATGATTGGAGTTATCTCCTTTTGTTTATAATTTGATTTTTTTTAATATGATTTTTTAATATAATTGTTAACATCCCAATTAATGAAAATTAAACGATATGTATATAATTTGTTTATAGAGAGATTAATTTATGTTTTTTTCAAATATTTTGTAGGTTTCATATTTTCGAATACTTGGGTACATCGAACAAATTGATGTTGACAACCTTTGGATTGATTTGTGCAAAACTTACCATCAAAAAGTTGAAATATCATTATGGTCACATTATTTACCGTCACTGCTTACATGATGATATTGATATTATAACAAGGTAATTTTCTTTAGGTAAATAATTACTATATATAATAATAATTCAAACTTAACAAGTGTTTTAATTTTTTATTAGGTACAATAGTTCCTTTTAAACAAGTGTCGTTTTTTTTTTTGTTGATAAGATACAATGTTAACCTTGTGGTCAAAGACAGTACTGGTTCAATAAATCTCACTGTTCAAGATAAACGGGCAGAGTTTATTTTACGATGTCAACCATACATATTTGAAGAATATGAGATCAAATGTAGAAATTATAAAATTTATTATAAATTTCTTACTTTTTCAAACACAAAGTTATAATTCCAAAATTTTATGGGATAAATGGCGTTAGAATGATTAAATATTATATTTCGTCATGCCAAGACCGTACCTATGCATTTATCATACATGTACCAACAATGCCACACGTCAACTAGATTGTGCACCATGCGTAACTTTTGTTTTAAATATAGATTGGTGTGAAAAATGTCAATACCTTT